TTTTGGTGGTTCATGGGAGATCAGAATCTCAAGGACTTTCCTATCCAGGCTGGCTTTGAACTGTGATCCTCAGATCCCAGCTCTTGACTAGCTAGGATTACAGGCATGAACCACCGACGCCACGCTTGGGCTGTTTAAGGCATAAATCTCTGAGAGACTCAAATGACTTTTCTCTAAGGCTTTTTCAAGGATTTTGCTGTAGCAATTATGTGTGTGTTCACACTTACGCATCTTAAATTCAGAACTTCTTTCAAACAGATCACATTCTTTTTCCTTTCTTTCCCTCCTTCTCTCCTTCCCTCCTTTCCTTCCTTCCCTCCTTCCTTCCTTCCTTCCTTCCTTCCTCTCTTCCTCCCTTCCTCCCTTCCTGGGGTATCTGTGCCACTACTGTATCTTGAACTCAGAACCCTGCTTGGCTTTGTTGTTGTTGCTGTTCAAGGCCAGCACTGGATCACCAAAAGCGTAGTCTCCGGTTCTACAGAGCTCCCCAACGGGACAGGTCCTACATCCATACATAGCCACCTTTCCCAGGCTCCTTCCTTCCTGTAGTAGTTCTAAAGTCAGAAGCTGCTCACCACAGAAACAGACCAGGTGAACCTCGGGCTGGGGAACTTCCGGTCCCCACCAGCCTCCAACCCACACACTCCATTTCCTGCTTTCCCCCATTTCCCCAGCAGGAAATAGGTGCAGACCTAGAGAGGTTTCTAGAGCTCCCCTGGCCTCAGAGCCTTGGCCTTCGGGGCATGGGTGGGCCCAGGGATGTCAGGCTGCCTGGCCTCGAGCAACCCAGAGCCAGTACCCCCTGAGGGACTAAGCCTCTTCCTTCCAGCACTGAATCACTCAATACAGATGGCTCCACTTTCATTCATTAAACCCCAGGTGCGGGTCCTGAGACTTGAACACAGGACCCAGGACGCTATCCTTGAGCTTTATACTTTGCCCCAAGCCTGGAGTTCTACCCCTTGGGCCACACCGCCACTTGGGGCTTCTTCTTAATTCACTGGAAATAAGAGTTTCTTGGAATTCCCAAACTCTACACTCCAGACTGCAGTCTCCCGACTAGCAAGGATTACAGGCGGCAGACACAGCACCCGCCCAGGTTTTACTCAGCTGTCTCTACGAGCTAAAAGGAGATAAGGCTGAGGAGTTCTGGTTAAAATAAAATCTGGGAATCAGTGAAAGGGAAAAACAAAAACAAACCTGAGCCACAGCTCCACCCCGAAGCCCGAGGCGGTGGGAAGGTAAGAGGTCTCCTCTGGGGTCCTAACTTCGGTTTAACTCATTGAAGCTCACTGGGTCAGAGGGAATTTTTCCACTCCAGGTGAAGCAGGAAAGAAAGAGCAGGCCCTCCACCACGCTGCACCCGGGAAGTTACTAACCGGATCCGTGACTCACAAGCGGAATCTTTGCAATCCTCGGGATCGTGTTCCAAGATCCTCCTGATGGCCGGCGTGGAAAGGTTTGGGGTTTGGAGGACCACGATATTATATGTACATATAGATCTATAATTTATCTATTTATCTATACATGTGCATGAAGCAGCACCACAAATGCCTACGTTCTGCTAAATGAAATTGGGGCGAAGGTAGTTCCAAGAAAGCCAGCTCCTCTCTCCTGCCTTTGAAACACAAACGCCGATTCCCGTGCACCCCAATGTCAGGGGACAGAAAAAATAAGGATTACTATTATTATTATTATTCCAAGGTGTGATCCAGCACAAGCAGGGCCCAGGTCTGCGTTTTTTGTGTCACTGGCAAAACATCCAATCCAATCCAAATGAAGTCAGACAATCACATCAGCAGAACAAAAGCCTCCTGGGGTTTGGAAATGCCACCGCGCCCGCATTCAGACCACACAAATCCCTTTCCCCTCCCAACCTCACCCCCCAGCCCCCTCCGGCCTGCACCCCACCATTTGGGAAGCGACTAGCCCCTGGGCTCCCTCCTGTAAGCCCAGGGGGGACCGTTCACGCCCGGAGCCTGCGATCAAGGACATGGTCCACCCTTCGGGGCTTCTCTCCCCCTGGGGACGGCTCAGACCCCCACACCAGCAGGCAGCACCCCCTAATTCACAGCCCGGAGACGCCCCTGAACCCCCACACACACAAGCCCTAGAACTAGCACAACGCGCCCTGATTCCAGACAGCTCGAAATGCACCATGGAGAAAGATGATGGGGGGGGGAACCCCCAAAGAGGGGATCGCGGTCATCCTGAGGTTCACCCACCCCCCCCTGCCCCACCCTCCCTCCTCCCACCCCAGGCCAGGACCTCCTGGGCATTTCCAGAACAAAGCGAGCTGGTGGTGGTCTCCCCCTCCACCCCCACTGATGCACGCCTCCATGGGCTGCTCACCTTCATGCTGCGGGTGGAGAGGCGGATGCTGGGGAGCAGGCCAGTCGCAGACACGTGGCGGCCGGCAGCAGCTGACCCGCGCGGGCTGGCTGGGCGCTCGCTCTGCGTCTCTGTGTCTCTGTCTGCTGGCTTTAAGCTCTGCGGGTCACATGCGCCAGGCTACTGCACGCTGCTGCCCCCCGGCGGCCGCTCAGCACCCGCAGCCACAGCCAGCCCCCCTGCAAGAGAGAGCACCGAGCGCCCAGCACCCACAGGTGAGTGGGTGCTGGTTGCTGAGTCCCCCCTCCGGCCAGGTCCTGATGATTGGGAGGGGGTGGGTTTAGGAAGAAGGAGGAGCAGGTGAGAAAGGAGATTTGCTGGCGTGGATCTGATCGCAGGTTGAACCTCTCTGAGTCACCCCGAGGCTGAGTGATATTTTTCAGGGTCTCCAAAAGTACAGAAGCCTGGCCAGCAGGGTGTGTGTGTGTGTGTGTGTGTGTGTGTGTGTGTGTGTGTGTGGTGTGTGTGTGTGTGTGTGTGTGTGTGTGTGTGTGTGTGTGTGTGTGTGTGTGTGTGTGTGTGTGTGCAGCCATAGAGCAAAACTAAAGCCCTTTTGGCTGGGGGGCCCGTGACTCACGCCTGTCATCCCAGCTACTCAGGAGGCTGAGATCTGAGGATTGCGGTTCAAAGCCAGACCAGGGCAGGAAAGCCAGGAAGACTCTGGTCTCCAATGAACCACCAGAAAACCAGAAGTGGAGCTGTGGCTCAAGTGGTAGAGCGCCCGCCTTGAGCTGAAGAAGCCCAGGCACCGAGTTCAAGCCCCAACACCGACCAAAATAAATCAATCAAGAAGCTCTGGCTGCGACTTTGGAGATAAGGCGCTTACTGGATTTGTCAGCCCCTGCTGGCTTTGAACCACAGAAACCTCAAGCCTCAGATCTAGTCCTCCTGAGGAGCTGGGATTACAGGCGTGAGGCCCCAGCTCAGGACAAATATATCTTTTGCAGATGTAGAATGACTCGTCCCCTCCCATCAAAAGAAGAAGACATTCGATTCCAAAATGGTATTTGTCGGGCGGTGATTCAGTGTTACCCAAAGTTGTCTGCTAGCCACAGATTAAATGTTCATTCGACTGTCCAGCGCTGGAAGTGAATTGAGGCTTTGGGTCTTTACTCTAACACACCACAAAATACAATTACTGCTAATGTGAAAATGTGTCAGACTAATACCATATACTCTGCGTATCGTTAAACATTATGTGGGAGAGGAATGCTAACCTATTTGAACTGGGGGTGTGTTTTTAATGCCTTTACTGGGGCTTGAACTCAGGGCCTCTCCCTAAGCGTGAGGGCTGGTGCTCTACCACCTGAGCCACACCTCCGTGTCCAGCTTTTTGCTGGTTAATTGCTGATAAGAGTCTTGAAGGCTTTTTACCCTCTATTTATTTATTGCAGTACTGAGATTTGAACTCCGGGCCTTGGGCTTGCTCAGCCTGCTTGCTTTGCTGCTGGCTTGACTGGTGTGGAACCACCTGAACCACAACTCCAACCGGGCTTTTTGCTGGTTAGTTTAGAGATGATGTCCTGAGGACTTTTCTGCCCAAGCAAGCGGGCCTCAAATTTCCATCCTCGGTGCCTTCAGCCTCCTGAGTCTCTGGGATTATAGGCCTGAGCCACTGGTGATCAGAGAAAAGCTGAGCATTGTTACCATACTGACTCCTAAACCTCAACACCTGTTGGAGGGAACAGATACAAATCAAAGTCCCACGTGCATATGTATATATTTTATTGGTCACATAAAACCTAATATTTTTCTGTCAGAAGTTATGGTGTCTGTGCATCTAGGAGAGCAGAAAACCAACCGTAAAAGCAGCAATTATGGGGGAGCAAAGCTCATAAAGGAATAAATGCTTCTTCTAGGTGTGTGTAGCAAACCGACGCCAGGGCCTGGAGCCATCCCTGAGCTTCTCGGGCTCCAGCCTGGCGCTCTACCACACGGGCCACGGCACCACTTCCGGCTGCTTTTGGCTGCGGTTCATTGGAGATGGGAGTCTCGCCAGACTTCCCTGCTCAGGCTGGCTTTGGTCTGCGATCCTCCGGATTGCAGGCATGGCTTTCCCAGCCCTTGGATGGGGCGCTGGACAGGAAGCCGGGAGCAGCCTGGGTTGGATTCCCCGCTCCGGGTCCCTGGGAAAGGCCCTGGGCTCAAGCCTGTGATCTCAAAATGCTGCCCACACGCCACTCGATGGTCCTGTTAAGAAGCATTGTGTGGGGACTGGGCAGGTGGCTCAGTGGTACAGAGCTCACCCAGCATGTGTGAGGCCCTGGGTTCGATTCCTCAGCACCACAGACACAGAAAAAGCCGGAAGTGGTGCTGTGGCTCAAGCGGTAGAATGCCAGCCTTGAGCAAAAAGCAGCTCAGGGACAGTGTCCAGGCCCTGAGTTCAAACCCCAGGACTGGCAAAAAGAAAAAGAATCACTGTAATTAGGGCTGAGAATCTAAGTACCATCAGAAAACACAAATTCTCTTAAAACTAGATCTGGGGAGGGACAAAACCCAGCCAGCCCTGGAGCCAGACATGTCTGGTTGGCCAGAGAGACTGAATGGTTGTTGTGTTTAGAAGCAAAGGTACCAGTAGCTCACGCCTATAATCCCAGCTCTGTGAGACTCTGATCTCCAGTGAACCACCAACAAGCCAGGAATGGCGCTGTGGCTCAAGTGGTAGAGCACCCGCCTGGAGCTGAAGTGTTGAGGGACAGCGCCCAGGCCCTGAGTTCAAGCCCCACGACTGACACAAAGCAAAAGTAGGGCCAGATATTCAACCAGAAGCCCTCTGTGGAGAGCCGGCCCGGGTGGAGGGGCCAGGGGGCGGCTGCAGCCCTCCCAGGCCTGCTAGGAAAGCGACCCGGCCAGCATCTGACCCCCCCCCCCCAGCCCCCATGGTGGGGAGCTGCAGCCTCTCGGGCCAGCAGCAGCGTGGCCGAAGCCCACGGGCCGAGCCAGCACAGCGGCGCGCGCTGTGAGTCAGGAATCACCGCCCCGAGCGCAGCGGCCACGGCCGCCCCGGGCCGACGCCCCAGCATCCGGCACTGGACACTCACCACGTTCGCAGGGCCGCTGGCTCTGGTGGTTAAGTCAACGTGCACCTGACTGCGCCACGCTCCGAGTCGGGGCCTTATTTGCAGATCTGGGGAGGTTCAGGGAAAGAGGATCTCACAGAATACATTAAAACGTCCTAAATCCACACACTCTGACCCGAACTGCACAACCACATTGTATATTCCATATACGACCCTGAAGAATCCATAGCTTATTATGCATATTGGATGATATATATTGAATTATATTGAGTTAGATATATTGAATTATATTGAACTGAATTATCTATTTTTGAATTATGTATATTTTGTACACCTAGCATTATATACATTTGAATTATATATTGAATTATATATTATATTATTTATATATTAATTATATGACATATATGTAATGTGTGATATATAAGTACATATTTATATATTTGTTATTTCATTATGCATAATTATATAATATATCATATATTGTATTATATATTTATAAATGCTATACATATAAATATATGTATATGCAGCATATTATTTATAACTAACGACATCTATCAATGATATATAATTTAATAATATTGAGTCCTAGGTGGATTACATCATACATAATTAATTATACCCTCGTTAATTATAGATGTGCCTATTTTTACACACAGATCTGGAAAGTTCCACGCAGTCTACATTGCTTCTCCCCTTTCCCCAGCCGTGGGGATTTCCTCTAGGAAGTGGGTGTGTGCAGGTTGGGGGCCGCAGGGAAGCCGGTCAGAATGCACCCTGTGGCTGGCGAAATCGAAGAACATTCTCCATCTGGTCACACAAAACAACATTGCTCCGGGTGAACTCCAGGAAATGGAAAAGGAGTTGTTGTTGTTGGATGTGGGGCTTGAACTCTGGGCCTGGGCGCTGTCCCTCAGCTCTTCAGCTCAAGGCTGGCGCTCTACCACTTGAGCCACAGCGCCACTTCTGGTTTTCTAGTGGTTTATTGGAGATCAGGGTCTCACAGACTTTCCTGCCCAGGCTGGCTTTGAACCGTGATCCTCCGGTCTCAGCCTCCCGAGTAGCTGAGCTGACAGGTGTGAATCACCAGCTCATAGCACACCTTCTGACAAGGAAAGCAGACACAAGCCTGCTCGCTTCTATTCTTTAAAAGTCGGGAATAACTATGCTTGAAAACAGTTGCTCACGGGCCTCATCAAATGCCAGGTTCCCAATGAGCTGGGTGTGGCCCCCGGTCGCCCCGCGATCCGGGATGCGGAGGGAGGAGGACCGAAATTGGAGGTCCCCTGGGGGTCACCCCACGAGATGCTGTCTGGAAAAGACCATCCATGAAAGCCAGCGCGTGCGTCTGATTTAAACACGGCGGAGGTGAGCGGGGTGCGTTTGGTGTTATCTTCGTACCTGGAAAATGTCCACAGTGGTCGTGTTAGGATGACAGTCCCAAGTACCTTTTATCCTTCTGATACACTATTTGGAGATCGAGCCCAGGCTCAGTTATAGGCGGATGTATTGATGATTGGATGTATTGTTGATTGGATGTATTGATGATTTGATGTATTGATGATTGGATGCATTGACGATTGGATGCATTGACGATTGGATGCATTGACGGTTGGATGCATTGACGGTTGGATGTATTGACGGTTGGATGCATTGACGGTTGGATGCATTGACGATTGGATGCATTGACGATTGGATGCATTGATGATTGGATGCATTGACGATTGGAGATGCATTGACGGTTGGATGCATTGACGGTTGGATGCATTGACGGTTGGATGCATTGACGGTTGGATGTATTGACGGTTGGATGCATTGATGATTGGATGCATTGATGATTGGACGCATTGATGATTGGATGCATTGATGATTGGATGTATTGATGATTGGATGCATTGATGATTGGATGCATTGATGGTTGGATGCATTGATGGTTGGATGCATTGATGGTTGGATGCATTGATGGTTGGATGTATTGATGGTTGGATGTATTGATGGTTGGATGCATTGATGA